CAGAGATTCGATAAGTTCTTCGCTGCCCAGACACCACGTATAGCGAACTAGAGGGCAGAATTTACACAGTACCCAGCTAGTCTATTAAACTATCAATAAGCTAGTGGCTGGATTTACAACAGAGCACACTTAGTTAAGATATGGTGAAATCTAGCAAACTATAATATACAACAGAGTATGCTAGTCTCCCGGTCCCCCCGACCTAGCGAACAAAATTTACACCCTAGATACGCTAGTCAAGACAGGGCACCGGTGTCCGACATGAGCTATTTACACCAGAACTCAGTCTGACCCAAACCACCTATATTAGACGGGCTGACTACAGAGCGTCTAATTTCCAGATAAGTGTTGCGCTTTCACTTCTTCCATCCATAAGGACAGGGCAGATTCCAATAACCGGTTCCAAATATAAAACTCCTTGTGGGTCTACCGCTCTAACGGTATCAATCTCACCTGTTAATTACTGGACCTGGGTTCACTCATAGACGGAACAATCCGGGACTCACTGCGCAGAAGCCGATGATCTCCTGGACAAAAGGCCAGTGGCGCCGAGACGAAAGGAGGTCCACGCAGTAGAAGTCCAGGACTGTAGCGTAGAAGGTTTGGTAAAAGTTTACCGTCTCAAATCTCTGTGCCAGCTTCCGTGCGATGAGGTTCCCGGGCCAATTGCACCAGAAATGTTGCAGTGTAAGCATGCAGAAGCCAAACACAGAAATATTGGACACAGGTCTTCAGGAAGTAACAGGCCTTTATTCACATTACCGATCGGGTCTCAGATGAACTCCTGTTCCAAAGGATCTGAGAGACATATACTTGTGGCTTGGGACTTTTGTTAACTGCATATCTCCTCCCATACAGTATAACCCCTCCTATATTCCTCAGACCAATCAGTGAGCAGAATATAGACTTGTACATCTAGTCAAACCACATGGCTCATCCAAGACAAAGGAAATAAGTGCAATTTCAGTTCCTGTATTCCTGCACATGCTCAGTACACTGATGACAGTATCCTAGCTACATGTAGCTAACCAACTGACACAACATACACATATGCCACATGGAGATTTTGGCCTACTAAATTTTGACCATGCTGGAATCCCATCACACTGTGTTTACTTCTATCTTACTCACTGTACTATTTACACTTTCCCCTCCTATTTCTCTTTCTCTTTGTTGAGAGAAGTGATTGGTCACACACTTCTCGCCACGCTCCAATCCGCGGCTACCACGGGTAGGCGGAATCAGTGACTAGTCTACGTTTTGGGAAGACGTACTTAAAGAGCTTGCTCTTAAAGTAGCAATCGAGCACGGTAGACGTTCTGTTCCTTTCTCTCTCTATATCTGGGACGCCTTGTATAGGGAGGATGGGACAGAAGTTAGATAAACCCAGTTAGGGTTGGTTAGCATGTGATCTAGTGGAAGACAGAGAAGGAGAAGAGATGGTTAAGAAAGTGAGGAAGATTGCTAAAGTATGTGGAATTACCGTACCTCTGTGCGGCAGATTGTAGCCAGAGAGCTGGCGTAAGTTACTGACAGAGAAGAAAGAGAAGCTGTCGGACTAAGATTTGGTTTGTACAGCAGAAGCCTGATACCGAGTAGCAAGAGCTATTCAGCAAAAGGGATAGGTTGAGGAAGATATTGATCACAAAGGTTTAAGTTTGTTTGTGTATTATAATAATTGTGTTACTGGATGCTGATGGATCCCTATTCCCCCCCCTCCATCAGTCCTACAGATCTCGTCACCCTCATCCTCTCTCTGCAGCTCCCTGCACCTCCAGTCCGTTTCTCCCGTCAAAGATTTCTGGTTTCCAAACGTATAAGTCTCTGTCCTTCTGTCTTGTTACTTTCCAGCACTCACATGGTTAATCTTCATGCCTGCAGCTTCTCTCCCTTTTTTGCACTGTCTCACATCCCCCCCCCCTTTCCTCCCCACTTGCCTCCGAATGGGGGAGGTACATGCCTTCTGCATTTCGGAGCTACTGATAAGAGTTAGGAATGGGATTTTTGCTAGAAAATATTCTAATTCAGAGGTTATGGTGTTATAGTTGTGTAATAATATTATTATTGTTGCCGTTTGCCGTTTGTATATGTATATATATGTGTGTGTGTGTATATATATATATATATATATGTATATATATATATATATATATGTGTGTGTATGTATAGATTGAGTTTTGTGATAAAGTGGTGAGGATTGTGGGGGAGACACAAGAATGTAGCTCAGTGTTGATTTACGGAGGTAAGTGAATCTGATACAAGAATAGTGGAATATTTGGACGTGTTAAGTGTAAAGGCAAGCGTGATTTTTTGCAAAACTATGCAATGTGGATAGAGGGAATATGCGGAGTTAAGCTAGTATGTGAAGAGGAAAGTGATTAATGGCTAGAGGATGATAAGGGAAATTGGTTGAATTCCGTGAGTTTATTTTGCATCATTTTATTATTTTAAAGTACATGTTTCTAGAAACAGCTGTATGGGCTGTTAAATGCATAATGTTCTCAACTGTCTTATTCAACCTGCCAGGTCTGTTCATAGTTTAGTATTTTGCAGAACAGAATGTTGCTTCTCTGACTTATTTTAATAGTTATAATATAGTGTATGGTTGAAAGTACGTCAACCACCACCCTAAAGATGGCGCCTGCCAGTCCCGTGACCTATCCACAGTCACGGTTGCTTCTAAAGTAACGTCACTTCCGCCCTTACCATGCCCACACCTCCTGTCTTCCTTTCCCACACATATCATGGACGTCACCCCTCTCACTTCCTCCCTTGCTGTCATTTCCTTCCCCGCCCCTGTCATGGCTGCCTCCATCATGAGGCCTACCCCTATTATGCTCGTCCCATTTAGAGACGTGGTTTCCCTTACACTCTACATATTATGAACTGAAACATTATAATTACTAAAACAATCATGCCATTTGTTTCCCTGTATCAGAAATTTGTCCGTGATAAAAAAAAAAAAAAAGAAGGTTGCTAAAATGTAATTTGCAAATGTGGTGTGACCTACAAATGAAATCTGTTGGACACGAATATAAGAGCATAACAGCTGATTATCCAGATTAATCTTGCAACAAGGGAAATAGCCAAATAATGCAAGTTATTTTAAACATTGTATCTTTACTTAATCGAATCTTGCTAGTTACAGATCGTATGTTTACAGTAACATCCTTTACTTTAAATGATGGTTTAGCATTAGAAGGATTAGTGACATGTTTTATTAACCCAGCTACTACTGGTTGTTTATTTTAGTTACAGGGTGGTATAATTGTTATAGTCTAATTAATATAAATGATAGTACCGCAATAGTTAATGTTTTATCCAAAGACATTTAGGAACTTTACTTCACTTACTATTAACCATTATTTATAATGATAGACATGTTCAGACTGCAAAAAGCTATGGCTAATGACATAGAAAGGGGTTTGAGTCAGTAACACAGCCCATACTGAGGAGAGCAAACCTGCTGATGCTTAATGCCCCTGCCATGGCAGTGTCTTCAGGGGAACAGGGGGGGGCTCTAGCTACTGTAATTTTACCCATTGAGGGCCAGCCCACCACTTTCCTAGTTGACACAGGTGCAGCCTGAAGTGTTCTGAGAGAACAAGACCTGCCCGATACCTCATTTCTTTCCAATATTGATGTCTCCTGTGTTGGGGTGGACGGCCTTCCAAGGCAAAGTCCCCTGTCCACCCCACTGCGGGTTGGTAACTGCCACAACTTGCTTGCTCGCTTTGTGGTATCTTCCACATGCCCCATTAACCTGTTAGGAGCTGATGTTCTTTCACGCCTGCAGGCATCCATCACCTTTACTCCAGATGGACAAGTGGAACTATCCACCCCTCTATCTGTCTCAGACACCTCAGCTTTGTGCTCCTTACCCCTGATGCTACATCTAGAAGAGCCTCATGGGGATGCAAAAGACCTAAGGACTAATTTCCCTGATTCACTAAAGACTGATGTTCCCAAGAAGCTGTGGTCCACAGGCCCAGAGGACATAGGCCATCTAAAGGTCCCGCCTGTGGTGGTAAAGCTCATCCCAGGCGTAAAATTGCAACGAAAATCACAGTATCCTTTGAAACCAGCTCAAGCTGCAGCCATTACAATTCAAATTCAAGCACTCCTGGAGAAGGGTGCTCTTGTCAAATGTGAATCACCATGCAATACTCCATTATTTCCAGTAAAGAAAAAGACTCCAAAAGGTGAACCAGAAAAGTACAGATTGGTCCAAGACCTCAGAGCGGTAAATGAAGCCACAGTTTTGGACACTCCAATAGTGCCCAACCCACACACTCTCCTTTCCGGCGTTCCACCCTCTGCCAAGTACTTCACTGTCATTGATCTGGCCAATGCCTTCTTCAGTGTTCCCCCGGATCCAACTTGCCAATATCTGTTTGCTTTCACACATGAAAAACAACAGTACACATGGACTGTCATGCCCCAAGGGGCACAAAATTCACCAAGTCAATTTGCGAAGGCCATGTGCTCTATCCTTGATCCATGGCAATCTGACCACCCTGAGGTTGTCCTGCTTCAATATGTGGATGATTTGCTGCTTTGTGGAGATGATATACCCACAACAGAACAATGCTCACTTAATATTCTTTGCTACCTAGCAGAACAAGGATGTAAAGCTTCACGTCTCAAGCTGCAATTCTGCCAACCTACTGTTATTTTCCTTGGCCATTGTCTGTCTCAGGGAACCAGACATCTCACCCGTGACCGAGTTAGAGCAGTACTGGACATTCCACCTCCAAGGACCTCAAAGTCACTACACGCCTTCCTAGGCCTCATTTCCTATTGCCGAGCATGGATCCCAGAAGCCTCGCTCCTTATGCAACCTCTTTATGATGCTCTCAAGTCAGACCCATTTTGCTTGTCCACAGAAGCCCTTGACAACTTCTGTTCTCTCAAAAGTGCTATTGCTTCTGCTCCTGCTCTTGGCCTACCAGACTATGCCAAACCCTTCAAACTGTTTGTTTCTGAAAGACAAGGCCATGCAACAGGAGTGCTCACTCAGGCCCATGGTCCTGGAGGCCGCCAAAGGCCTATTGGATTTTTCTCCTGCCAACTGGATATTGTGGCCAGAGGAAGTCCCTCTTGCCTTCGGGCCGTCTTTGCTGCCAGAGAGCTCATTGAAAGAACTGGAGATCTTGTCCTTGGCCACCCCCTGGTTGTCTTGGCCCCCCATGACATTTCTGCCATAGTCAACCAGGTCCAACTTAAGCATGTTACACCTGCTAGGCATCTTCGCCTTCAATGTCATCTTTTGTTGCCTGACAACATTACCCTCCAAAGATGTCAAGTTCTCAATCCGTCCACTCTTCTGCCACTCCCTGAGGGGGGTGTATACTACGGATTCATCATGGACGAAACTTATGTTTTTTCTTCTCACTGGCACCATCAAGAAGGAAATGCATCCCAACCTATCCTTTCATGATGGACAAGCACTCCTTCATGACGGAGCAGGATATGCCTTCTGTACCATGTGGTACAAATCAAACATCACTCCTGAATCCTGCTATGAAGATGAACTCTATCATCTGGTCGAAGTAAAACTCACTGCACAAGACTTCTACTGTGATTCTGAAGGCAACAGTATGGTCTTGATTCATCTACCTCCGGAACTCAAGCATTTGTACCGCCATTGGGACACTGCCATTCCACATGTCCCTGTGACCAAGTTGAAAACAATATCATGGAATGATCTTGGGCCTATGGCAAAAGCATGGGCCACTATGGACGAATCACAGCTACAGGAAAATGGTGTTGTCAAATATCCAACAACTGACCCTAAAAGCATGGCCGCGTCATTTCCTGGAGAATGAGTTCCAAGATTTAACCATAGTGAATGAATACGACCCAGATACACCTCATGACTGTTTTGAACAGATGAAAATGGAAACAACACATCTACCAACTGTGCATGAAGACCCATTGGTAGATCCCGATCTCACCCTGTTTGTGGGCGGCTCAAGATATGCTGATGAAGAAGGAAGATACCATACAGGATATGCCGTAACCACAACAGATGAAATTATCAAATCATCATCTTTACCATCAACTATGTCTGCACAAGAAGCTGAATTGCAAGCCCTGACTTCAGCATGCAAGATCTCTGAAGGAAAGCGCGCCAATATCTACACGGATTCAAGATATGCACTGGGCGTGGCTCACGACTTCGGATTAATTTGGAAAACAAGAGGATTCCTTACCACCGCCGGTACACCAATCAAGCACGGTTCCGCAATCAAGGAGCTGATGGACGCCCTCCTACTCCCAGAAGAAGTGGCTATTTTAAAGATAAAAGCACATGGGAAGTTGGACACAGATGAAGCAAAGGGCAACCATCTAGCTGATCAAGCTGCAAAACAAGCTGCAAGAGAACCACAGGAAGTGGAAAGAAGAGTGTCCGGAAATGAAGAGACTCCCATATTTACTCTGCAGACTCTTCCAACTGACCTGAAAATTCTGCGGGAACAACAGGCTACAGTTGCCCCTGAAGAAATACAGAAGTGGAAACAGAAAGGGGCAGTTCTAAGAGATGGAGTGTATTACAACAATCTCAGATTCTGCCTTCCTAAGAATCTATACCCAGCAGTTGTTCAGTGGGCACATGGCCCTGCACACCTATCAAAAGATTTGATGATTGCCCTTGTACAGAAGTACTATGAGGCTCCTGGAATTGCCACGCTAGCCAGCAATTACTGCAAAACGTGTGTCATCTGCGCCAAGTGCAATCCGGGGAAAATGACTAAAGTCCCTCCAAAACACTTGGCCAAGCCCATGTACCCGTTTCAAAGAATTCAGATAGACCACATCCAGATGCCAAAGAGTGGCAACTTCGAATATGCACTAGTAATAGTAGACATGTTCTCAGGCTGGCCAGAAGCCTACCCAGTGGTTAACATCACCGCAAAAACAACAGCAAGACGGCTACTTACAGAAATTGTATGTAGGTTTGGATTACCAGAAGTCATTGAAAGTGACCAAGGCCCAGCTTTCACAGCATCAGTAACCAAAGAGATTTGGGCGGCCCTAGGAGTGACCCTTGCCTTCCACACACCTTATCACCCACAAAGCAGTGGTAAGGTGGAGCGTATGAATGGCACCCTGAAAACTAGAATGCTAAAAATGTCGCAAGAAACAAAAATGCCCTGGCCCGAAAGCTTGCCAATAGCCCTGTTTAGTGTCAGACATACACCTAGAGGGAAGCCCTCATTGTCCCCTTACGAGATTCTATTCGGGTCAGCACCCAGGCTAGGTTGCTATTTCCCCCAGCAATTACAACTTCATACTGATGTTTTGGTAAACTATGTAACTGAACTTGCCAATGCTTTGAACAAAATCCATGCCCAAGTTTTCTCTTCAATTCCAGATCCTGATTCTGACACAGGCAACCACAGTCTGCTCCCCGGTGACTGGGTTCTGGTCAAGAAATTTGTGCGAAAACACACCCTGGAACCAAGATTTGACGGACCGTTCCAAGTTCTCCTGATCTCCCCTACCTCTGTCAAATTGGCCGGAAGGCCTAACTGGATCCACGCTTCCCATTGCAAGAAGACACCTGCCCCAGAGGAAGCTAACTCTATGCAACCATGTGCCTCTGGTACATTATCTCCTTAGTTGGCCTCCTTAAAGCCCAGCAGGTGGCCATCACCAAAGATGCTAGTGGGTACACTTTCTGGTATAATTCATCATGTACCCATGTGGCTACATTCACTTTTGATTACTGTGATATTGTAGAGTGCCCATTCCCTAAGTCACAGATTCAAGCCATTTATAAAGATATACCACAAGCAAAAGACCCTTACGTTTGTGTAGTAGATGAACAATGGGGTTATGACTGTAACTACTGGGGGGCTGCGGGATGGAATACTGGGCCTGCCTGGGGTTATAAACCCAAAAGTTCTTTATCTAAGATAGACAATCAGAGTAGATCCCTCCTTCAAAGAATGACTTTAAGAAAGCCTGGAGGAAGTACCCCTATGAAATTAATGTTAAATATTGAACATCCTGGCCCCGAGGATGCAGACCGATATGTAATGGGAATGTATTGGAAGAAAGGTTCCTACAACAAATTAGGTCATTTCTACCTCAGAGATATGTCCCACTCTCCAGAGTGGCAAGGGGCTGATCATATGGTCCCAAATCCGCTAAAACCACATATCCAGTCCTTTAAAGATATGATGGCCATCGCTAACCCCACTTTTGAAGATACCATGGCCGCTGAAACTGGATTCAATGACATTAATCTGTGGTTAGAATGGATGAGGTATAATGCTAACAAACATAATAAAACAGCATGTTATGTATGTGGCGGTGCCCGACCCCACCTTGGCACCATCCCCCTAACTCTCCCTTTAGAGATAGAAGATTGCTTCTTAAGCCTTTTTGCCTACCAATATGACTTTAATAGGTCCCTCTGCATGGCATGGATGGCAGAGTACCCTCTCTTAGTTGAAAATGTTAAGCCACCAGATGGAATCACAATCTATGGAGGTAATTACACTTGTTATGCCGTGTATGACGGGATTGGTAAATTCATGGGTAACTTTTCTAAAGGTTATTGCGCCACTTACAGAACTGTTCCTATACGCCTGTTGCAACACCATACCAGGTCATTGGGAGATATTTACTGGTTATGTGGGGATCTACAGTTAAGATCTAGGCTGGAAACTGAGTGGTGGGGTGAGTGTACCCTGGCCAAAGTTATCATGCCCATTCATATTATTTCTGATAATCATCATGACACATACGACCCTCCACATACATCAGCCAGAGTAAGGCGCGAAACCCCAGTAAAAGGCAGTTTTGACCCACACATTTACATAGATGCCATTGGGGTGCCTAGGGGGGTACCTAATGAATTTAAAGCTATAGATGAAGTAGCTGCAGGTTTTGAATCACTTTTTACCATAGTCACTGCCAACAAAAACCTTAATTGGATTAATTATATCTATTACAACCAACAGCGCTTCGTGAACTACACCAGGGATGCCCTCCAGGGCTTGGCCGAGCAATTACAGGCCACATCCCAAATGACCTTCCAGAACAGACTGGCCTTAGACATGATCTTAGCCGAAAAAGGGGGGTCTGTAAAATACTTCCCGACACTATGACTTGTTGCACTTACATTCCAGAAAACACAGGTCCTAATGGTAAAGTCACTCTGGCCATAGCTAAATTAAATAGACTCTCTGAAGAGTTAAAGAGAAACTCTGGAGTTACTGATCCCTGGGAAAAATGGTTTGGTTGGATGACTGGTTGGCAGAGAGCTTTAGTCCAGATTGGTATTGCCTTACTAATTTTTCTTTTTATTCTCGCTCTTCTCATTTGTTGTGGCCTCCCATGCCTAAGGAAATTCCTGCAGAAAACTGTAGACCAAGCAACACCAACCTTCACTCATCTGACAATCGATGATCAAGACCTCATCTCACCCTGTATTCCGCTACAAACTCTCCCTTATACTGATGAAGTGCAGAAAGTCTAGGAAGGGACAGTACAGGGACAGCGTCCGTCTTTATGGGTAGACTGCCGTACGGAGAAGTAGTGGATAAGCCACTATGGGTTACCAGCGGAGTGAAGAGTGTTCCTGAACCGTACTGACGGATGTGCTGCAGCCTGTTAGGGTCAAGAGAGGGATAGACTTGCACTTTGCATTAACACTAAGTCAGCGGTCATGGGGTTTCTGTGTCTTTGGGCTAATACTTCTTCTGATACTAACAAATAAAGTTTTGTCTTTTAGCAAATAACATTTTAGGGGGGACTGTTGTAGAATTATTAGGCCTCTATAAATTTGTAAGGCCCCTTTAAATCCTCTTGCTATACCTCTAAGAGGCCCCCATAGTTTTACAAGGAAGCTTTGTCTATAGAACATAGAATTTGCATGTCAGCAAGAAATAGCTTTGATAAAATGTGTATTTACTAAAATCCTTGAAACTTAACCTTGAGAAACTAACAAGTGCCAGCTACGCTCCAAATGGATAGCTGCCAAAAGGCCCCTCCCGTCGAGTGAGCTCCTCATTTTAACAAAATGGCGCTAAAACCTGTAGGAGTTAAGAAATTACGTAGATAGTGACCTAAGAATGGGGAGGGCATTTTACTAACATCTTAGCACCTAAGCCAATTAACAATGTCTATTTGTCTATATCTTGATTTTCTTCAATGATGTAATAATGCCTTTATAAGGGTCTGCGCACCCATTTTCTGTCAGAAGCCATTAAACTTCTCTGAAGTTC